CCGTGGGGCTCACGTTGTGCGCGGAGGCTGGATAACCCCACCTGTGCGCTCTGGCCCTTCACGGAGGTAGGAGGCTCCCGGGCAGACCCCTGTGCTGGCAGCGGAGCGACCACCCGTGAGAGGGGACCCTCCCTTTGCAGCCTTTCAGGGGCACCTCGTCCCTTCCCGCTGCCTGCCAAGTTTGACACAAGGCACGGCGCTGGCAAGTTGGTGGGTCCTTCCCACCTCCGAACCCAGCTCACCGCTGGCTCCTGGAAGGGAGATGGGAAGAAAAGGAGGCTTTGAAAAGGAGTCACTGTGGGATAAGGTTGCACATTCCTCAAGAGTTTCGGGCTCCGGAGCTGATGACTTGTCTCATTTCTCTTTTCCGTGCTGTGTTTAGGCATCAGGTCAACCTCAAACTTATTGTCTTCATCCTCATTTGTTCCATGCTCGTTTCTTTCTTTTTTGATCACTTTGGAGTGTCAGGAATTATCTCACTATTAGGTTAACTTCTGGATGATGTAATTAAAATTCTGAGTAATTCACAGTTCTTGTTAGCTAAGTAGCTTTGTGATGACAAGCTAAATGTCACACACTTCCTAATCTCCAGCTCTGCTCCCAGACTGCTCTCTACGGAGAGCGACTTTTTTTGGAACGGTTTCATGGATCCTGGGCTCTACTCCCCTTTCAGCCTTTTTTATTTTAAATTCCTGAGGTTTTTTTTTTTTCAGGTCTGTTCTCAAGTATCTGGTTATGGCGAGGTGTTGCTGGAGTCCTTACTGCTGCTGTCATTTTGATTTTGTGTATTCAGTTTGGTAAGTGTGTACATCATTTAAAAAAAAATATGATTAGCCTTAGGAATTACCAGATAAAATGTATATTCTGGTCAGAAGTCTCTCAAAACCTCAAAAAGTTTGTTCAGAACTTGCCATATCTCAAAGTTAAATAGATGTCTCATGACATAGTGGTTAAAATTGTGGTCAGGTGCTGGAGAAGTGACTCTGCTAGTTGCAGTGGTGTTAGGGAGTGCTCAGTTTAGTCTAAGTATACTTCCGGCATTCAAGTTTATAACCTTACTGTCGGTCTTAATCCAAGTTCAAGAAAACAAATAACAAATGGAAGATTGTTCTCTGCAACCAATCTGTAATCCTTCAAAACATGACACTAGAATAAACAAAGCTATTAATGCAGCTGCAAGGAAGAAACATTTGCAAAAAAAGTATAGTTGTCAGAAATACGTAAGTTGTAGAAGAGTCCTTGGGGGATACGTTCTTATCACCTTCTCAGCTACTTCTACCAACCTGCCCCTGATCATCACTTTAAAGGTATGTCAGCAACCATAAGAGTTTACAGTAGTGTACAATAATTATTTCTGCTGAGCAGAAGTAATAACACCATGGTTAGACTCAGATGATTTTAGATGATGCAGTCAGAAAGCAAGCTAAAAAACTCCAGAAACCTTTTCCAGTTGGAAGAAATAGGTAGATTGTTTTTTTTTCTTTTCCCAGTAAACCATTCTTCAGCCAAAGATTTTCCTGTCTGTCCTTCCTTGGAACTCTGCCCATCAGGTTGGCTATATTTCCAGAGGAAATGCTACTACCTCTCGGAGAGTGAAGCCAACTGGAACTCCAGTCAGAGCCTCTGCTCTTTGCACAATGCTTCCCTCCTGGTGATCGAAAATCATCAGGAACTGGTAAGGGAACAAATGGGGGGTCCTGGTTTCAGCCATCTCACTTTTAGGGAGCTGCGCAATGAACCAGTGTGTTCCTCCAGCCTCTTAAGCTGAACAGTTTGAAAGCTGATGTAAAGACTGTGACGAGTCACAGCTTGCAGAAAGCTGCGTGCCTCTTCTCCCTGCAAACAGCAAACATCAGTTTTAGCAGTTGATGTTTTAGAAAATGCCCGAGGCTTATCTGAGTTAAATTAGATGATGCTCACAGCCATAAAAACTCACATTGAAGACAACTATCAGGGTAAGCACTGTTGTGTCTCATTTATCTTTGATTAGACAACTGTTCTCTCTTAGCAAGACAGGTTAATTTGACAAGTAAGTTGGTAGATATGTTAGTCATGACCTTTGGAATTAGGAGATAGTTATCCTAACCACAGCTTGTAGCATCTTTTTCTGTATGATACTGCGATGTTAGGAAAGATTCCACCTAGCAGAAAGACCTAGGAGAATATATTCTTCCATATCTGTTACAGATCTTGACAGCAGACCTTGATATTTTAAAACAGCCTCTCTCTAGGTCAGTCAACCCTATCACAGACACCAGCGTAATGGGTTGTCATGGTTTAACCCCAGTCGGCAACTAAGCACCACACAGCCGCTTGCTCTCCCACCCTGCCCCCCCCACCCGCCCCGTGGGATGGGGGAGAGAATCAGAAAAAAAAAAAAAGTAAAACACGTGTGTTGAGATAGAGGCAGTTTAATACGATGGAAAAGGAAGAGAAAATAATAATGATAAAAGAATATACAAAACAAGTGATGCACAATGCAATTGCTCACCATCTGCCGACTGATGCCCAGCCAGTTCCCGAGTAGTGATCGCTGCCCCCCAGCCAACTCCCCCCAGTTTATATACTGAGCCTGACGTCATATGGTATGGAATAGCCCTTGGGGCAGTTTGGGTCAGCTGCCCTGGCTGTGCCCCCTCCCAGTTTCTTGTGCCCCTGGCAGAGCATGGGAAGCTGAAAAAGTCCTTGACTAGCGTAAGCAGTACTTAGCAACAGCTAAATCATCAGTGTGTTATCAACATTCTTCTCCTACTAAATCCAAAACACAGCACTGTGCCAGCTACTAGGAAGAAAATTAACTCTATCCCAGCTGAAACCAGGACATGGGTGTACTGGGTACAGACGTCAATCCTGTTGCACACACTGAGGCACGTATCTTCCTGTACTAATTTTGAAAATGTCTTCCACGAACCCTTGCTAGCCGATAATAAGAAGTCAATATGATGAAGCCACATCAGCGATGGAGAAAGGCATTAGCTGCAAAGGTGTTCATTGTTCTTTGGAAACTTTCTTGTGGAGAGACAGCAAAATGATGGGCTTGCAGTTCCATAGCAGTTATTAATATTCAGTAGTATACTTGTGTTCTCGTAGTTGGCATTTCTGTTACTACAATATTTGAGTGCTGCAGGGATCCTGTCTAAAATTAATCCATTTGATTTCTGATCAGGTTGTAAGTTCTATTTCAGTTATGTGGATTGCACAAGATCCAGATCCTGCAGTACTCTGTAGATTTAATCTTTAATACTGTTTCTTCTCAAGAAAGGCAAGATCATTGTTTTGCTTTCTAGCCCTGGGTCAAAGACTTTATATTTTGATAACTGGACTGAACATGCAAAACTTATTTTCTCATATGGGTTTATTCCTACAGAATTTTATGGTGAAGATAACAAAGCAAGACCCATGGATTGGACTCTATAAAAGAAATGAAGAGTTCTTTTGGGTAAATGGAAAAGCATTAGACAATAAACTGTAAGTCGATTTTGGAGGGTTTTGCTAGTGATACTGAATTATGATGGAGTAAGAGAGGGTAACTAATGCGGATATAGACAGTGACTTGAAAGAAATATCTGTAATGAAGTTGAAGGGATGACTCTGGAAAGAGCATGGAATACAACAAAGTTTTCACATAGCATTGTTAAAACTGTGATGGATGAAAATTAGGAGATAAATTTGTAATGCCAGGTTCAGAAGCAACGTGAGGTGGGAGCTCATGGTAACAGACAGTAGAGCAAAGTGAAAGACCAAGAGACCACCAAGACACCAAAGCAACGGCAGGAGGAATGGAAGTTACAGTAACACAAATTCCTTGTTACAGAATATATTTTGCAAAAGTGCAAACCTGCATGCAACCTGCATGAGGTTTACAGCAAAGATATTTGGGAGGCTTCTAAGAGATGTTTTCATACTTCTTATGGCATGTGCCTACAAAAAAGGTTGCTGGAGGGAAAGGTGAAGCTGTGAATTTATGTTGCATGAGCTACGCTGTGGTCATCGCCCTATGCTCTGTCCCACCAGTGTCAGGTGTGGGGCAGTTTGTTCCTCCCACTGACGGTTGTCCCATCTTCTCAGAGACTGCTGCTTCTCGTCCTGGGGCCAGCTGCCAGCAGGAGTCAGTAGAATTACCAGTGACAGTAATAAGCATGGAGATTTCCGAAGTCTGAAATTAACTTAAGAGTATTTAAATTTTCCACTTTCTAAGTTTGTGACACCACTAGTGGTGCATGACTATATTCGGTTCATCCCCAAGACTTGAGGGCTTGATTTGATAAAGACCTTACACATATAATGTGAGATGTGAGCAGCACATAGGCATCTCAAGTTGAATATTGCAGTTCCTTCCTATTCTTGCTTATCGCCTGCCTTCAGTACAAACATCTACTGGTGCTTTCATTTTTAGTGTCGAAGTTCTTTACATTCTTAGACTTCTGCCTCTGTGTGTGCCTCAAACTGCCCCTCCTGTCTTTAGAAGGATGAACATCTTGAAGTGTGAGCTCAGTAGCTATTAGAGTCATGTGTAATACTGATGGGGATTTGTCCCTTGGCTCTTCCAGAGACCATACTAGTTTCGTTAGCCTATTCACAGAACACTGTAACACTTTGTTTGAAAACACAGTTGGTGAAGGCGACCCTTACCTCTTACACAGGGACACCTATGGTGTGGAAACTGAAGTTTGCTTCTTGTTTTCCGCCACCCCCTTAACCATAGTGCTGTGTTCAGTTCTGAGGAAGAGGGAAATGAGAAAGGCATTTTGTTCACAGCTTCTGCTGAAACATTTTAGCTGTGTAGAAGGATGTGGAAGTCAAAGGTGGAGTGAGTGTTGATAGCACAGCATCCTTGAGAAGGGCAAACCTGAATTCCAGTCTCTGCTCTAAGGGTGTATTTCAGATTAAGCAACCACTAGACAAGATGCAGGAGTACTGCAAGTCCTAGATTTTGTATTCTGGGAGCCAGGTCCCATTAAAAAAAGACAATCTTTGTGATGGTCTCTTCAAAACACAAGCTATCATCCTCCTGCAATGCCTTGCCTGTGGTAAATCAGGCTTTGTACAGAGAGAACCTGTGATTCCTGTAGTTCCCTTTGCTTTATTGCATTATTTGATTGTGGGTGTCAAAGTAATCATGTCTTTCATTCTCCCTTACAGGATTGAAGTAAAAGGCTCTGGAAACTGTGCCTATCTTGAGTCAAAAGGAGTGTCAGCCTCTGGATGTTATTTAACCAGGAAGTGGGTCTGTAGCTTGAATATTAGCTTAGCACGATAAAGGTGGATGAAGCCATCACCCCAGACACTTAGTGCTCTGATATGATGTCTGCACAGCCTGTGTCTGTACTCTGGGACCTGGGAATGTGTCTCGGCTCCTGCCTGGAGGTGAACGGCTTTTCTGCTAGCCAGAATTCTCCACCCATGGAGGAAGCATCTGTTTTATAACAATGTCGTTTAAATGGCTTGCTTCAGCATCCTTCAGCATCTGTGGCCCTTGCCACGTTTTTCTAGCTACTGCTCAGCCTGCAGTTTCCTTTCTTTGTGTCATCAGTATCTCTTCCATGAACTCTTCTCTTGCAGGTTCCTAAGCAGCTGCTCTTTTCCTTTTTGGTGTGCAGTTGGAGGTAATTGTTCTGCTTTTCCCTCAGCCAAGTTCTGTGTGCAGGGGGTGGCTTGTGAAGTGGGTCCACCTGAAGGTCTGCCAGTGCCGCTCAGATACAGGGTGATGCAGAAATGAGCACTGTTGTTTTAGACGGGATCACTGCGGATTTCGCGCTCCCAGTTTGATGGTGTGCATCTTGTGCGACTCTGCATTGCATTCAGTGTTTTTTTTACTGTTACTTTACATTAATCTTGTTAACTTAGCTTGACAGTATTATCATTGGGATTTATGTAGCTGCGCTGTACCTGCAGTTCTTCTTCCCGCAGCACTTATCTTAGCAAAAAAATGTCAGAATAGATACTTATTGACCTGAGGATCTGCACTGATGGGGAAAAAGAGTTTGAACTGAAAAAGTAATAGGCAAGCTGCAGGCATTAATGTTGTAAAGTTAGAAATAGTCCTCAGTTCAAATAGGCAAAATCATGAGTAGAGAATAAGAGAATTAATAGCAAAGGACATTTCTCCATGGTTTCCTCCTGTCCTGTGCCTGTCAGAGCGTGAGGCTTCTGAGCAAGTGGTACATTTCTGGATGGACAATCAGTGTTTTGTTCTCTGTGTGTATTATTTTCACCAGCGACACCCAGTGCTGTTGAATTGCTGTGAGCCTGAACAGAA